AGGTGATTTTATTGAATTTTGGGGCTCCTCTTGCCCCAAACCCCTGGTTTACAGCCCAGACCCCCCCCCCAAACCCGTCGTGGGGGCTGAAGAGGCCGCGCTTAAACCCCCTCGTTACCCTCTGGCTTCGTTAGGGAGAGACCCCCAAATTGGGGAAAATTTGAAAAAAATGGGGAAGAAAAGAAACGGCAACGGAGCCCCGGTGAGCACCCAGCGCGACGTCGTCGTCATCATCGTGTCCCCCCCGGGAAATCGGGGGGAAAAAAGGGGCTTTTGGAGCCCCAAAACGGCGCTTTTCCAAAGAGCTCCAACCCGCGAGGGGAAGGGAGGACAAAAAGCGTCGATTTGGGGGGGCGAAAAGAGGAATAATTAAGCCCGAGTAATGAACCAACCGCCAAGGGCTGCTGCTCGTTGGCACTGGCTATAATTAGCGGCTCCCAGCGGTGTTATTATGTCGGAGACGCGTGCGTGTCCCCCAGCGTTCCCAGCGCGGCTTAATTGCCGAAGGAAATTAAGGTTTAACGAAGCGGGCCCCGATGGCCGTTCATCGCTGCCGTCTCCACGGCAACGTGGGACCCCGGTAAAATCCCCGGTGCTTGCTGAACCCCCGTGAATCTCCCCAAAACCTGCCGGCTGAGGCAGGGGGGTGTTTTTTGGGTGGTTTTAGCCCAATTTCTATGGAAATTAAACATCTGCCATCTGGTGGAACCGTTTCTGCCGGTTTTAGGGTCAGGGTGGGGGGTGCAGCCAGGGGCAGGGGGGCTGGAAATACGTCAGCGATGGAGGGGAGAGCCCCTCGGTATTTAAAAATATAAATAGAAATAAAATATCGATATAAAACCATATAAATACATCAGTTAAACATCACAGTGGGAAACCGTCATCTCACCACCAGTGATAAATAACTCACGGGGGGGGGGGGTGGACGCGTTGATGTCTTAATGAACATCTTAATGAATGCCTGATCGATAATTAGGGAGGTGCACGGAAAAGAAGAGATGCCTTAATGTCTACAATTAATAATAAGACGCCTTAGCGAACGCCTGGTGGATAATTGGGGCACAGAGACTCATCCCTGCAGCGCAGTTGACCCCCCTCAACCCCCAACGTGTCGGTTGCGGTAGATCCACACGAATTCAGCCGTGTTAATGAGTTATAAATGAGAATTAAATAAATGCCAAGATACAAATGACAATTCACCAGTGTTAACGAGTCGAACACGCCACCCGGCGCCAGCGGTCCCGTTTACGGATCTCTGGCATCACCGCTGAGCTGCGCGCCCTCGGCGCGTGCTGGTGCTGCTGCCTCGCTCTCGGTGCGCTGGATGTCCTCCTCGGTGAGGGTGACGGGCTGGAATTTTTCCAGGAACTGGCTCTCGTTGCGGTGGGAGTGGAGGTGGTGGGGGCTCATGTGGCGCAGCCGGGCCGGCAGCGCCCCGAACTCCTCCTCGTTGACATCGCAGTCCCGCAGCCGGGCCCCCAGCACCCACCAGCGTCCCCAGAACCCCACGTCCAGGAGGCGACTGGGCAGCTCCCGCCACCGCGGCCATAAGTGCGGACACTGCGCCGGGTAGAGCGCGGCATCAGCGGCATGGGGGGCTTCGTAGACCACCGCCAAGAAGAAGAAGTCACGGTAACGTAGCCGGCCGGCCTCGCGGCGTCGCAGCAGGTGTTGGACGTGCCGATCGGCGGCGGGGCTGCGGGTGCCGGGGGAGAGGAGCAGCAACGTGCCAGCCGCTTCCACCGTCGCCGCCTCGAAGGATTCGGCGCTGGGGACGGCGGCAGCGCAGGC